CCTTGCTCTCTGTTCTCTGTCAGTTTTCTCACTCCATTTGGTGCTTGGCTGAGTTCTTTATCTCTTCATTTGATGTTTTAGGGTTTCAGGATTGTTGTTTTCTCTGTTCGGCTTAGTTTTTCAGATCTTTGCTGTGGAGGGATGGCGTGGTGCTTCTGCCTAGAGCACCATTTTGCCGGAAGACTCCTACTGTCCCAGTTTTACCAAGTGATATGCTCACATGGATACAAAACAGAAATTAGTAATGGGGGGATGGTCAATCTTCCTACTAGTCAACGAGTTAATCACCAACCACATTAGGTATTATATGGGCATTAGATAGGGTCCATTTTTCAGGAAGGTCATTACCATCTAGAAAGGGAGATAAGACCAAAATGCTTGAGGGAATTAAAGACAATTAGACAGTAAATGATCAAAGGCTAAATTGTATGGTACAAACTTCTAGTGCTACTGGAGTTCAGAGGGAGCCAGTCAATCCCTCCAGCCCAAACTTTCCCTCCAAGCGCTGCCTGCTGTGCAGCTCCTCAAACTGAACCCATCCCAAAGCAGATTCTTGATTTCTTCCTGCCACTTCCTTTAAAACCATCCTTTTGTGTGGTAATTATTTCCTAAGGTCAAAATCCTATTTATCTGCTTGGAAAAATAGTAACACACAATGGTATCAAAATGTATCTCACTTTACAGATGATTTATGCATAAGTGTAATTTTATCTTTAATATTATTTTTGTTCAGATTCTACCCTTGTGTATGTATTTTGAGAGTATATAAAAAATTTCAAGGATACTGCAGCTTCTTAAAGTAGGCCTTCTAGCACTGGACTGTGAATTAGAATTTCCTGGTTTTTAGCCTTTGTTCTTTGATTCTGTAATTACCTATGGCCCGATATTTTGTTGCATAGAAAATTGGAAAATGTCTCTTTCCTTTGTACCTTAAAGAAATTGCATTTCCATGAATAAAAGTCCTATATAAAATTTAAAACAGAACAGAAACACACACACACAAACCTATTTCTCTCCCAATCTCCCCCATTGCAAACCTAACATGAACTACCTCTGCCTACATCCTCAGCCTTATTGTAGGATACTCACCTTCTCCCTCAATGTCTCCTGGTACACACTGGCCTCCTTTTCATTCCTTGAACACCCAAAGGGGGCATACCAAGGTCTCATGACTTTGGCAAGCACCCTCCACCCTTGGCCCACTGCACCCTGACTCTTTAATGGCTGGCTCCTTTTCTCAGTACCTCCTCAAGAGGCCTGGCCTCACTGAACACCCTCTCCTTAGAGATTCCTTCATTTCTTCTCCCTGAACCTCATCCATCGACTCCCACGCCCACTGCAGTTTGTCACAACAGTTTCACTTTTGTTCACTGTTTGCTCCCTCCAGCACTGAGCTCCCCACAAACAGCAGGACTGCGAGTGCTCACCGATATACACTCCATCACCTAGCACAGCGCACATACCAAGTATTTAAATACTTGTGAAATAAATAAACCACACAGGGCGGGGGGGGCAGTCATAAAAGGCTCATGAAAAGAAGACTGAATCAGACCTACTAGGAAGGGTAGAATCTCATAGTTAATACCTTGTCTGTCTTTTGAGCAAAATAACCTGAGAAGTCAATAATAAAACTTCTTACTAGAGTGGCTAACACGTATTGAGAGTGCCTATGTGCCTGGCGTTATCCTAAGTATTCACACATCAACTCATGTAATTCTCAAAACAGCCTTAGACAAATGATCATGTCCATCTTACAGATGAATTAATAGGTACAGAAAGATTGCTAACTTGCCCCAGGTCACAAAGTAATGGCTAAGCCAGGATCCCAACCCAGGCAGGTTGGTTCCAGAACCCATGCTCCACTGCCTGTGTCTGTTAGCAGCTGCCTCCCTCACCTCCCATCCATGCCTCCACTCCACGGAGGGAACCCTCCTGTTCCCTCCACTCCACTGAGAAGATGCTTCCTTCAACCATCAACAATCTCCCAGCTGCTAACAAATGGACACTTATTTTTTGTATTACATCTATAGAGCATTGTTATGGTTTAGCACTCTCACATACGTTATCACTCAGTAACAACAAAAAAGGTTCCAGGAGCTCAGACACACTAATCTCCAGGAAAAACACAAGCCTACAATGTACCATCTAATCCTGTTCAGCAGACACCTGAGCATCCCCCTTCTCCCATAACCAGCACTTACAGTTTCATCTTCAAGTTTGAGCTGGAGGCTCTTCTCTCCTTCCTTGTAGTCCTTGATTAATTCAGCTGAGCGCCATACTTCTTCAGGGTCAGGGATCCAGACTCTCGTATACTGAAAGATTAAAACATAAGAAACTTAGATCCAGAGGGAAGCTTTCAGGCTTCTAAATGTGTGTTGCTAGCTATGAGAGGCCCGACAGAAGAAGCAGGGCTTCATTCCTGTTCGAACTCATACTGAGAATTTGCATTTCCAACAAGTTCCCTGCTGAGAATTTACATTTCTAACAAGTTGCCAGGAAGTTATACTAAGAATCACCTGGGGAATCTTGTTAAAATGTAGGTTCTGATTCAGTATATCTGGAGTGGAAATGTAAATTCTCAGCAGGGAACTTGTTAGAAATGTAAATTCTCAGCAGGGGTACGAACCTGTTCAAAGCCCTGAGAACTTTTTCAAAGCAGTCTCGACACGTTTCCCCCCTTCTCATTTCTCAAGGCACAGGTGACGCAACACCATAACAGGTATAACGCAGCAACTCACAGGATTGGTAACCGAGATCACCTTCTAAATCCTAAGAAAGTATCACAATCAATGAAATTAAACATTCTACCAGAGAGAGTGCCAAGTCGGCCTTTGGATACATCCACCAGAGTTTACACCATCATCTCAATGTCTGGTGCAAAACAGCAATGTTCGAGGGAGTATCTATTGTGCTACAAACCAACAACAACACAATACACACAAAAACCAACAAGACAGAAGAGCAAACTTCCAAGCTTGGGAATCTCTGCTCAAATTCTGCATTCAGGGAATATGAGTCATTTTCCTGCAGAAGTGAAAGAAAGTGGTCAGCAAATAGAAAGCATATGTAAGTATCCTTAAGTTGTCAGCAACATCCTACATTTTTTTGTGCATTCTTTAAGCCACAAACATACCCCAAACACCTCACTCAACCTCGTCCAGTAGCCATCCTGACTTGCAGGCAGACAGTGAATTGACCAAGTCCTGCCAGGGAAGCACACAGGTAAATGATGATGCAGGAGCTCCTTCAATGCTTTGCCCAATGCATTCTCAGTGTATTGCAGGGATTCTCAGCCTGACTGCACATTAGAATCACCTGGGGAGCTTTAAATACACCTGTCCTGGGTACCACCTCAGACCAGCTCAATCAGAATCGAAGGGGATGTAAAAGCTCACGAGGCAAGTCTAACGTGCAGCCAGGCAGACTCACAGGTGTGATGTACTATAAATGGCAGCATCTGGATCTACTGGCTGCCACTCCTGGCATCATCCTCCTTATGTTGGCCAGACCAATTTCTGAGTTTTCTTTTCATAGGTGTTATTTCCACGGGGCGCCCCTGCTTTAGAAGCCGTCTGTGTGTATGCATACACACGTACAGTTTTGTGGCCACAGAATATTCTTAGCAAACTTGAAACAAATGGCTCTTTTGACAGAAAGGTCAGTCAGAATGTGTGCCTGGGTCAGCATAATCCATCTCAACCACGAGCACCAGCCCCAAGCACAGACCAGATGGAATTATTTGGTTTTACACTACTGCATTTTCCTCCAGGTGGTCACCGGCCTTTTTTAAAGGCAAGACCCTGCTACACTCGGTCCCTAATTCAGTATTAAGCCGTGAAAGTCATAAGGCAATAGACTCAGAACATTGATCAGTGGAAAAGCAAACATGGACCAACCTGCATCCCTGATATCCCATCTCAGTATACAAAGCCAAAGCCATTTGTTTTTGGCACTACAAAGAAAGAAGTTCACAGAATCTCAGCCTTCCCTCTGCCTCTGAGCCTGCCGTGTAGTGAGACATTACTGCATCTTTATAGTAAGATGCAATAGAGCTTTATAGTATCTGAGAGTTTTATAGTAAGATTTATAGACTGTTCTGAAGCATCTCCAGAGAAAACTTTCAGAGTGTTTGCTGATCTTGACGGCCAACATGTCTTCTCCCCTCAAGACATCTAGTGTGCTTTCTCTGCTCTCACTTAAGCCAACCATCCATTTTGCTGCCATGACCTTTAAGATCCTGTCCCTAACCTTCAGCTAAGTGACTTTTCCTTAGCCTCGCCACCATTCTTGTCGTGCTCTATCCTGAGACTTCTGAAGCGCACCCAAGAAACTTTACTCAAAGCAAAATCTCCACTCAGAGAAAACAGTGTAAGGAATGGCTCACTGATAATAGATGAGTGACAACTGAGTGACAGAGTGACAAATAACTAAAGAAGAATGGAGAAAATCTCAAAAGGAACTGTTCGAGGGTGATGTTATGTGGCTATCGTCGAGCTGTGTGACTGACTGGAAGCCAAGGAGCCCAGTTCCATCTTCACCAGGGACTCCCCTAACCTTAACTCTGCAGTCCACGTGCCACTCCATAACCCACTGTCAAGCTGATTCTGACTCATGGTGACCCTGTAGGACAGAGCAGAACGGCCACAGGGTTTCCAAGGTTGTCATCTTTACGGAAGCAGACTGCCATTTCTACCGCAGAGCAGCTGGTGAGTTCGAACCTCTGACCTTTTGGTTAGCAACCGAGCACTTAACCACTGCACCACCAGGGCAGTTATTACACCCAGTTCTGGGGACCCTCACTGCCTAGCTGCATCTCTGTATAATTCTTAATCCAGGAGAGTCCATTTATTGTTCTACTTAAATAATCTCTTCTCCTAAACAGACAGAAAACACCTGGTGGGCAGAAAACTGGCTTCTACATGTTCCCATTCCCACCACATGTAGCACAGCATCGGGGCATAGTGGAACTCTCATCATATTTTAGCTTTTTGCTACTCAAAGTGAGGACTCTCAGCATCACCGTCACCTGGGAGCTTACTAGAAATGCAGAATCTCTGCTCCCACCCAGACCCACTGAATCACAGAATCTGCATTGCTGACTACTTGCTCTTCTGCTACTGCAATATGATCTCATACTTCCACGCCTTTGTATACGGGTCAGCAAACTATAGCCATTTGCCAGATCTGACACACTACCTGTCTTTGTACAGCCCATGAGCTAAGAATGATTTTTAAATTTAATATTTGGGAAAAAAGTCAAAAGAAGAATGACATTCATGTGATAACACATGAAAATGAAAGTCAAATTTCAGTGCCCATAAAGTTTTATTAGAGCACAGCCACATGCATTCATTTATGTATTGTCTATGGTTGCTTTTGCACTTCAATGACAATGCTGAGTAGTTGTGACAGAGCCTGTATGGCCCAAAAATCTAAACTAGTTACTATCTAGCCCTTTACAGAAAAAGTTTGCCATCCTCTGCCTTTGTTTCCTCAACCCAGAATACCCTTTCCTAACTTGCCCATATGGGGGGAGTCTGAATTCCAGCACCTTCTCCTCACTGAACACTTCTCCCCTGTCCCCCACAGGATTCATCCTTCCCAACTGCCACAGTAAATCTTTATAATTAACTTTCATCTCACTACTGCAAGTCTTTCAGATACACACCGTAGCCCTGGGATCCAGCACATAGTACATGCTCACTCAACGTTCACGCAGTACAGGAATCGGTGGACAGAGAATACGCATTTATGGGGCACCTGGTTTATACATATATAACACACGGTGGTAAGCATCGTGGGGGATACAAACACGGAGTATGGTTGGGTAGATAATTACATAAACATTTTTCTAAGGGATGATGTGACCAATTCCTAAGGAAAGGAGAGTAATAGCTATTCAATGGGCGTGTGAGGAGAAAGGGAGATGGGAAACAGTTAATGCCAATTTAGAAAGAGAGGAAGGGGATGGCCAAATTCTTCCACAACTTTTAAAAAGACAATGTGTCTGCAGACCCGGTCAAGCAAGCTTTAGATGCCAATCCAGTGAACATCTGGGCTGCTAATACGGGCCAGCTCTGTGCTAGATGCTGTCATGTTTCCTCAGTCTTCACAGTGAAGACACATCTTGACATGCATTGAGATTGTAGTGGCTTAGTGTGAAAGCAGAAAGAAGGAAGCCCTCATTCTGACGGCACAGGATCTTAGACATCTGCAGACAGGCCTCCCCTCTGCTTCTCGCCTCCTCACCTTACTCCACCTCATGGATTTTCAACGCTAACGTGCCTAAGAACTAGTGAGCAGTTGTTTACCCAACTTCGTGCACACAATTGATAAGCGATTTACAGGACTTCCAAGGATAATTTTAACTATAATCAAATTGTCCCTTATGTGCTGACTTTGCAAACATTCTCCCATCTCCCCTTCCCATCCGCACCCCATTGACTCACCCGCCCCAAGGAAGATGCAATGCCTCTGTGATCAAGCACAATGCAGTATGTGATCGGTGCAGAACAAACGGCCAAAACACACACACACACAGACTAAGAGAGGGGAGAGACAAGCACCATAGCAGCTAGCAAAGACTTGAGGAACGAAGACAGAAGTGATTTGAGCTTTGAAGATGGAAAGGATTTGGAGGGGAAGAGAAATCAGTGCCTGAAAGAAGGAACCATGTGAATCAAGGTGCAGTACTGCATGTTCACAGCAGACTGGCTAAAAGAAGGGGGCTGGGGAATACGATGGGTGAGACTGGCTGCAGCGGTCCTGGGCAGGGCCTCGGTGTCCATGAACAGCCAGGCTCCTTGGCTAGTCACCCGGGAGACGTCACAGGTTTCTGAGTAGCCTGGTCATATGAGGCAAACAGGAGTTCGGGAGACTTTACCTGGCAACGACACACGGAATGGGCTGAAGAGGTGAAGACTCAGAGGCAACGTCTCCAGGTGGCTCCTACAAGAGCTGAGAATCAACACACTCAGTCCCCGAACCTGGCTGTTGGCAACAGGCATAGAAACACAGGAAGCATTCTGGACACAGCTATTCTGCCTGTTCTGGGGAGAGACACCTGGGAAAGGCTTACAAAACACCGTTTTAAAGAAGCCAGGCACAAAAGGTCACATATTGTACGATTCCTTTCATATGAAATATCTAGAACAGCTAAATCCATAGAGACAGAATGCAGACTGGTGGTAACTAGGGGTAAGGGGAGGGAGAAATGAGGAGCAACTGCTTAGTGGGCACAGGGTTTCCTTTTGGGGTGATACAAATGTCTTGGAACTAGACCCAAGTGGTGACTGCACAGCCTC